CGCCACTGCCAGCTACCGGAACAGGCCCTGAGTTCGTTTGAGTTCGCCGTTGTTTGTGTTGCCGTTGACTTCCGGTGAGGCCGAAACAGTAAAAGCTAACTGGACACTTTAGAGGCTCGCTTTTAAGCTTTTTCAGTTGTAATTTCAAGAGGACTTATACAGCGTAAAAATTGACAACGGCCCATATGAGCGTCCTATAGTAGTGCGCATAGCACTGTAGGTAATAACAGCAGAAAGGAAATGTGTGCTAGCGTTGTTAGATAACAATTTCACACCATGAAAAAGAAAAACAGTTTTTTACAGCAGTATATACTTTTATTTATCTTATAATTTACGGCATTAAGCATAATCAAAGATGTGATTTAGTACTTAGTATGTAAGTATGCTTTTAAACATCTATCAAGTTTTCACAATGTACATAAGAATGTATGATAACATAATTTAACCAGGGGCACTTTACGACCCTTTAAATGGAAAGGACGGGAAAAGGCTCTGGAGTCGGTGAGTAGATTCTGCTATTTCATTGGTCTCTCATGATTTATCATGAGTAAAGTAATCTATGCGTGACATGCAGTTTGCCAGCTTTGTCGAAAAGTTCTTTGTTCTTCTCTATCTCCTTTCCAGTCTTTCCCATGTTCGAAGGGAAAAACGCTCTGGAGACGAAGTTGAAGGTTTCTAATAACTCTTAGCCAGTAATTCCTCGTTTTGTAAACTTAATTTTTATTCAGTTCCTGCTCAATAAAGAACTCCTCAAATTAACAAGGTGGTTAATTACGAGATGCTCTGTCATCAAGCGGCCTCAGTAATTCATTCAATCAAATCATGGAAAAACGTTTTGCTCCGACATTAACCTGGCATCATTAAAATTGTTGAGTGCAGGAAATAGTGGACATAATCGCGCTCAAGATATTATAACATGACCAGGGCCTTGGCCAGAAAAAATTTATGACCGACGCAATGTTATTTGTTTGTTTGTTTGTTTGTTTATTTATTTGCTAGCAGCGTTTGACTTTCCCCCTTCAAAAAGGAAAAAGAAAAGAAAAACATGGCTGAGGTATGCGCAAGTGTCGCGGTTTGCCTGTTACTAGCTACGGCTCTGAGGACTATAAAACAAATAGTTACTAAACGGTAAAAATCATGATCAACTACTACATATGACACTAAGGATTTAGACAATAAAGCATCTGTTGTCTTGTCAACTTTCCTGAATACTATATTCATCCATGTATTTTAAGTCAAACTTTCTTACGAAGATAATAATTTCTTTCCCTCATATACAATTTAATATGCTCATTAACTTTAAACTGTTGTTTATATCGTGATATTTCAAAATAACAAAGCCAAGTAGAAAAATGTCATGGCGCTTCATAATGCATTACAAGTCACGAAGAGGTAAATCTACAGCTCGCCTTTCACGGTTACGGAGTGGGGGGTTTTTGCGAAAGAGTGCAGCTATAGCTGATCTGTATTCTGGCATGCGGATAGCGTATAATATAGGATTGACAAGAGAGTTTGCAAAAAGTAAAACCCGAATTGCACTTTTTATATTAATACCCACAGAAAAGGCCATGTTAAATTTACTGCTATAAAGGAGAAAAGCAAACATAGCAGCTGGCAGGTTCAACAGAAGAGATGCAACAGTCACAATTAACAATGTCATGGTCAGTTTTCTTTCTCCACTGGCTGTACCATGGTGTTGAGGCTGCGCTCCACAACGGACTTTAATAACAATGGATGAGTAAGAAACACAAATGATCAAAAGTAGGAACAAGACAGCTGCAATCGTTAAGTAAAGATCAAGAAATCCATATTCAGATGCACCGAAGTACCTAATATATACCGAAGTAAATGATACCATAAAAACCCAAACAAAGGTAATAAATAGGCCATACACCCATTTTTTTAGCAGGCGATGCCTGAAAGGCCGAAATGTCGCATACGCTCGCTCTAAAGCAATAATGGCTATGTTTAATAAAGACATACTAGGAAAAACAATAAGTAGTCTTGTTACTTTATAATCTGCCAAAAATACACTTGGATGCCCCTTCCATACATTACAGATTACTCCAAACCCATAGAACAGAACATACAGAGGAACCCCTCCAGCCAACAAATCTGTAACTGCCAAATTTATCACCAGGTACGTGCTACGCTTGCGGAGA